GGATGACTTCACCATCCAGTGTTATATAAATTAGTATATATGTGATGATTTTCATAAACTTCCTACCATATACCACGCCATCAATTATGCCACTGATTTTGTGATTAATTTATTAGTCAATGTTGGATTATATACAATGGTCACAATATTCAATCAAGTATGGATGACTTCGCCATCCAGCATTATACAAATTAGTATATAAGCAATAATTTCCATAGGCTTCCTACCATCTATTGCACCATGGAAAGTTCAAAATGTGTTTCCTTTCTTCTTCTTCTTCTTCCTCTTCTTCTTCTTCCATCTTCAGATTCAATAAGCTTTCAAGTACCCAACTTTGCCCCTAGTCCCAATTACATTCTCTACCAAGGAGACGCAATATCTTTCTCCGAAAATGTGGAGTTAACCAACAATGACTTTTGGTATCGTGTTGGTTGGGCCACATATGCAAATGAAGTCCTGATGTGGGACTCCAACTCAAGAAAGCTTTCAGACTTTACTTGTCATTTCTCCTTCAGCATTGATGCGCCAAGTCCAAATGTTATCAGCGATGGAATAGTGTTCTTCCTTGCTCCTGTAGGATTTCAAATCCCACCCAACTCTGGTGGTGGCTTCCTTGGCCTATTCAACACGACAACATTATATTCCTCCTCAAATAGGATCGTCTCAGTGGAATTCGACACTTTCCAAAACCCTCAATGGGATCCTGAGGAGGTTCAAAGCCATGTGGGTATCAATATCAATTCTCTACGCTCTGTCGTTTACGGTCCTTGGAATGCAAGTTTCCACTTTAGGGAGACTGCTGATGTATTGATTACTTATAATTCTACAACCAAGAATTTGAGTGTCTCATGGAGCTATCAGACCACCAAAACTCCTCAAGAAAATTCAACCCTTTCTTACCTAGTTGATTTGAGGGATGTTTTAAACGAATGGGTGACTATCGGCATTTCAGCTTCCACAGGAGCTTCAAATGGACGACATACACTCAATTCTTGGAAATTCAATTCAAGTTTGGATGCTAAGGAAATCAATTCAAGCTTGGGTGCTAAGGAAACCAACAAGAATTTATCAAGAAAGATCAAAATAGTTGTTGCTATTGCCGTATTGGTGATCGTTCTTCTCCTTGGAACACTTTTAGCATATGTGATTATGAGGCAAAGGAAAAGGGTAAATAAAAGGGTAGAGACGACAAATTTAACATCTATCAATGATGATTTTGAGATGGGCACTAGACCACGAAGGTTTTCGTTCCAAGGTCTTGCCTCTGCTACTAACAATTTCTCTCAAGATAGGAAAATGGGTGAAGGAGGTTTTGGTGCAGTTTATAGAGGCTATCTAGCTGATGTAGACATGTTGATTGCTGTAAAAAAAATTTCTAAAGGATCAAAACAAGGAAAAAGGGAGTATGTAACAGAGGTGAAGATCATTAGTCAGTTAAGACATCGAAATTTGGTGCAGCTTATTGGTTGGTGTCATGAAAGGAGTGAGTTCTTGCTTGTTTATGAGTTCATGTCGAATGGTAGTCTTGATTCTCATCTCTTTAGCGAAAGGAGTCTTCTTCCTTGGCATATAAGGTATAAAATAACACTTGGATTGGCCTCAGCAATTCTGTATCTTCATGAAGAGTGGGAGCAGTGTGTGGTGCATAGGGATATTAAGTCAAGTAATATAATGTTGGATTCTAGTTTTAAGGTTAAGCTTGGTGACTTTGGGTTGGCTAAGTTGATGGACCATGAGTTAGGTCGAATTACAACAGGGTTGGCAGGTACTTTTGGCTACTTAGCTCCAGAGTACATAAGTACAAGGAAGGCAAGTAAGGAGTCAGATGTGTTTAGTTTTGGGGTTGTGATATTAGAGATTGCTACTGGGAGAAAGTCCACGGATCAAATGGGGGAGGAGTCTAATTTGGGGTTGGTGGAGTGGGTTTGGGATTTGTATGGGAAAGGAAAGCTTCATTTTGGTGTTGATGAGAGAGTCAAGAGGGATTTTGATGAGAAACAAGCAGAATGTTTGATGATTGTTGGAATATGGTGCTCTCACCCTGATAGTAGCTTAAGGCCATCAATTAGGCTAGCAATTCAAGTCCTAAACTTTGAGGCAACAATGCCAAATCTTCCTGTAAAAATGCCTGTACCTATGTATCGTGTAGCTGCATCATCAGTTAACTCTAGAGAACCTTTTATTTCTTATTCTAGTATAGAGGTAGGCCGTTAAGACATGATTTAGTTTGCTTTTTGTGAAGTAAAATGTATGGTTATTTAACTCTTTTCAAGAATGATGAGTTAATTCCACTCTAGCAAGTGTACTAGTCAGTTCAAGTAATATAATAATGAAAATAGAGTATCGTCCCATAGAGATTGTAGCCTAACTAAGTACCAAAATTAACTAATTCTAATTTTATTTGAACAATTGAAATAAATGATTTGACTAAACTAAATAACTAAACTAATTAACGAAAACCTAAATTGGCTTTAAGTAACACCAAGAATTAAAATTCTAAGGCATCCGTTTTTACCATAATCAACTAATATAGAATTTATATTAATATACTTCCAAGGTATTTATTATTTATGTGACAGCGGGATTTCCTATCTTATTTGATATGCTTTCTCAAGTTATACCATATGTTAAATTAGAGTGTGTACCAATCATTATTCTTTGTAATGTCAAGCAAAAAAATTTTTTTTATTAAATTCCCATATCCGTAGTAATGTTGGGTATATTAATTTAAATTAAGTTAGATCTCATAAAGCCAAATTCTTTCTAATATATATACTTTTATTTACAAAAATTTTAATTTAATATTTTATTTATAAAGATAAATTTTTCCATTCAAACTAATATATCATTGATAAAAGAAAATAAAAAAACTTTTAACGGCAAAAGGTACCTATTTGCCCTTCAATTTTTTGAATTTAAGGTATTTTATCCTTTATATTACAATATATTAATTTTTACTCTTATTGTTTTCAAATTTAAAAAAATAAGGCAAAATTTAAGTTGGAGGGTCACATGCATCATTTGCACCGTTGCCCTCCGTTATACAATTACATGTCAGCATAAATTTAAACTTTTTTAACATTGTGGCAAGTCCAACTTGGAATTGAATTTTACTTTCCGTACTTTTAGCTTGTGGGCCCTTCCCGTCTCCAATCCCGGCTATACTCCCCTTCCCGGTGAGGCCAACCCAATTGGGTCTCCGGTTACCCGTCGGAGGCCATTTGCCTTTATCTCGCCGTCGTTTCTGGCCTTTTGGCTCTTGATTTGTTTGTGGTTTTGATCGGGTACAGGGGATCAGACAATGTCCAAGTTCATGGAAATGAAAGCGGGTCATTGGCTGCCTCCTCAGGGCAGCCGGAAATTGTGCGCCCTGTGTCACGAGGTCCGGCGACCGGAGTCTCCGAGAAGGCGAACGGCCATTTTGCCGATGTTGGGCGCTTGCGGTCATTTCCTTGGAACAATAGCATGCTTTCATGGCAGAGAACAGCTTTCCATTTCCAACCGGAGAAGAATTGGATGAATGGTAATTAACGTCTTTGATTCTTCCCTTCGTTTCCTAACTTCTTCATTGTTCTCAAAGATGCCGCAGCTTCCTTCTTTTTTATTATTTTTTTCTTTTAATCAAAAAAGTGCCGCAGCTTTGTGAGAATTGAAAAGCAATATTTTTTTTCTTCATTAATGCCCAAGATTTCTTTCCACATTAATGCCCAAGATTTCCTTGAAACCTTGGCGTGGGTTCTTTGGAACCCAAGCGCTGGGTTCCATGGAACCCACGCACTGAGCTCCTTCACACCAGCACGCCTGATTTGTGGGTTTTCCTCTACGCAGATCATCGTTATCCATACAAGGGAGGTCGTCGTGGATTAGCAACATGGTATGGAACATCTCGACGGCACAAGTAGCCGACATGGCCGTCAATTCATGCTCGTCGATGAGCTTTCACGCTGCTATACAGAGCATCGGTCTCACACGCTTCCCCCAGCCAAGAGTGAGTGGCGCATTGCTTCGTGGATCTTCAAAGGTTCCCAGAGCGAAACGGTAGCATCCAAGGCTTGATTAATAGAATTTGCCTTTTGGACCATATAGGATTTGAAATCAAAGGTAGGTTTTGTGGGTCTTGCTCTTCTTCCTTGATGGTATCTTCCTTGGTAAGGACAGAAGAGATAAAAGGAACAGAAGAAACAGCATGGGATTTTGTTGGAACGCCACCACCGACATACCGAATCTTTGAAAGGACCAAAAGTTGAGGATGTGGGTATGGGTATGGATCTGGATCTAGTTGCTTGGTTAGAGACGAAGCAGGTCTGAACCCACAAACCCAGATTCACAGTACTCATTTTCAGATGGGTTTTCTCCCTTTTACTAGATTGCTTCACAGGAAAATCGCCGGAGGCTTTGAAGAGGGAGAATCAACGAGCTGCTGCCTTATAACCTATATTTGTGGGGATTGAACTAACAAGGGGAAAATGTTTTCAATTGGCAAGTAAAAATAGTACCAAATTTAGTGGATTTCCCAGCTTTGTTCCATTTTTGTGAATCAGTAGAGATTGGTTGAGATGAATGGATTTGCAGAAGTTGAAGAAAAGGAAAATGAAAAAGGAAAGAGGAAAGGGAGGAAGAAAAAAAATTTTTTTGGAAAGGGTCAAGCTGGATTTGCCAACATGTCAAAAAAGTCAAAGTTGGTGTTGATATGTGCATATAAGGGAAGCTAACGGTGCACGTGCTACACATAATTTTTTTACGTTAAATTTTGTCTCATTTTTTTAAACTCGAAATCATAGAGGATAAAAATTTATATATTGTAATATAAGGGGTAAAATACCTTAAATTTAAAAAGTTGAAGGGTAAATGGGTACCTTTTGCCAACTTTTAACACCCCAAAAAAGGTAAAAAAAATATTATTGACTTATGTAGTGCTAGCGACCTTAATTTGGAGCTAAATCCATCTAAACTTGAGTTCGAGTTAAGAAATTAAACGAACACAAATTTAAGTTCGAAGTGGAGTTCAAACTCAAGCTGTCATTAAACAAGTCGATTCATTTGTAGCCATATATATGCTTAGACGAGAATATGTTACGGGAATAAAATAAAAGAAATCATTCCAGAAGGATCCTCTACAGGAAATACGTATAGGCGACTGGGTCCCGTCATTGTCCACCTGGATTGCCATATCACCCAATCATCATCTTCCCGTGTCCAGACTACAGAGCATTGCTCTCCCACCCTTACGTGCATACGTACACGTGTCGTCATCTCCTTTTACTTGAAGTCAAATTAGTGTCACTACATCCAACGGCCTCTGATTTTTTTTTACTAATTTTTTTGAAATTTAAAAATTATATTAAATTTTAATTAATTTAAAATCAAATTAAATAAATTTCCTTAAAATTCTACTATCTGTATTTTTTTAATTATAAAATTCGAACCCAAAATTTTATTTTAGAAAAATTAAATTTTTTTAGCGATGATATCCAACGGCCCTTAATTACTCGCATTCACGCTATAAAGCCACGGATGTCAGTCTCTGACTGACAGTATTGGCGAGATTAGTTTTAAACAGTAAAAGATCCTTCATGAATTTTGTTATCCTCAGATCGGGATCGGTTCCAGTTCGTTCACCGGCGCTTCCCGGATCTCCGAAGGTACATCTTTCCCGTCACGATACTGGAGTTTTCTCCGGCGAGAGAAACTCTAGTTCTTCAAAAAACTCGCTCCATCTAGAAACGAATGGCCGAAAGGATCGCGTGCTTATAAGGCGAGCGATGTCGGAGGAGACTGATGTCTTCCAACCTGAGAGTACCGGAAGATCTCGATGTTCCAAATCAGCAATACCAGAGGAAGAACACGTGGCCGATGTTGAGGTGGACGACTTTCTGTCACTCATTAGCAAGGCCGGTGATTGGCCAAGTTACGCGCCAATTCGACCGGATTACCGGATTCCAATTGAGGAGATTTGGATTTTTCGGAAACGGAATTGGAAGATCTGGCAACAATCAAGGGAAACCCGGCGACAGTTGAGGGGACGGTAGATTTGGTGATAGGAGCAAAATCGGCAACTATTACAAAGAAATGTTGAAGCTAAATCCTGGTGATTCGCTTCTGTTGAGAAACTATGGAAAGTACTTGCATGAGGTAAGTTCAAGATTTCACAATACTTCTTTTGCTCTTGATCAATATATTGAGCGATTTCAATTAATCTGACTCGTGTTCTTGTTTGGTTCTGAAGGTAGAGAATGACGTAGAGAAAGCAGAGGAGTACTACGGTAGAGCGATATTGAGGACCTAAATTGAAAGGAACTCAACTTCAGAACTTAAATTTTCAAGTGTAAAACTTGGGAAGTTTTTCTCTTCTTTTACTCTTATTTTACATTGAGGACAATGTTTGATTTAAGTTTGGGAGGGAGAATAACTTTTAGATGTCCATTCTTACATTAATTTGCATCATATTTGCATGACATTTTTACTTTTTGAAAAAATTAGGAGTTTTTTTAGGAGTTGGTCCAATTAGTATCAAGGAATTGAATGTTCTTGAGTTGGAAATTCAGAAACTTTTAAAATCTTTGAATCTCATAGGAGATTCAAACTCTTAAAAATAGCACAATTGTGATGCAGTTTAAGTTCATGAGTATTCTATTCTACTTGAGCACAAGTTTGTAGTGAGAAGTTTAGAAAGAAGATTTAGTACCTAAAAAGCACATAAAAAATGAGAAAAAAAGAAAAAAGAAAAAAGAAGAAGAAGCCAACACATAGAAGATTTTGTTAATTTCTACTCCAATGTTTCTAGTTGCTTAATAATTGGAGGTTAGGCATGAGACCCATGTCAACTTTCACGTTAAACGGTAACTTAAAATATGAGTTCATGACTTGTTGAGTAACCGAGTGCTTTCATCACAAATGTTAGTATTCCCGTCAAAAGATAAGTGATAGCTTTGGGAAGAATGTGTTGTATGGTT